TTTAAAATACCTATTGAATAGTTTCCTATCGTCTTAGGTCTAGTTGTCTATATACTGCATCATTTAATCAGTACCAAGACACTTAAACTCTATTCTTCGAATATGGGCAAATAGTGGTGTGATTTGATCGTGATGCATTATGAATGGAGGTAATGCTTGTTTAATATGTCTCATGGTTAATTGAATTGATCTAGCATATGCATACTCGACCAAGTTTCTTAATTACAGCTTCAAGTATGGATTTATGAAATACGTGAATGTGCTTGAGAATTACAACTTAAGGATAAAGAATATGTCCAAATCAATCTATTATCTGTTCTAAATAGATCAAACATGATTTACGCAAATTCGAGTTGTTGAAGTTGGTGGTTGCATACGTCTCCTGAAATTATTCGTATAAATCAGGAAACCATAATATAACGAAGTATTATACTCAACATTTGTGGATAATGCCCCGTAGCCAAATTTAGCCCCAAGACAAGGGTTTCAAAATAATATATAGAAAAAGAAAGAGTTTAATGAATGAAAAAGTAATTAAATTATCGTTTTGATAGTGTTCAGGATTTGTTTCTCTTTTTTAAAATAGTTGTAGGAAATGATTGAGTTAAACGAAAGCAAGAGAAAAGAGATAAGTTAAAATTTCGAGAAAAAAATATAATAGAAAAGCTTTATTGGCGAAAAAAGAGAAACTTGCTTACCAGTAAAACATTGGTCCTAGTTCTGCCAGCCACTGACCTTCTACACTGCTAACGCACTGCATATATTCCTTTGTAGTCATAATAAGTTCATGATAAATTATGTAATCAGGAGTGTATCCCATACCGTAAAGAGCACTTGTTGGATGAAGATGACAAGGCATCCCTGTACGCAGGTTCACGTACTCACCGAGACCCTGTTAAGAAAGTGGACATTTAACGAGGTGTAAATTAATTTGAATATGAATCATTTTATGGGCTCAAACTGAATGTACATGTGTGAAGGTAGCAGTATGAGTGACTATCTGCAAGTGTAAAATTTATGTGCAAGCATGCAAAAAGATTCTTAAAGAAGAGTCTTCTTGGTGTAGTGTTAACGAGTGGCATTTGCAAAAATGAGTCACAGCTTTGACTATATTCGGCATATGACGAGCGAAAGCTCAGCCCGTCTTCGCCTGAAACGATGGAGGATGCCTCGTGGACTGACTCAATAATAACGCCATATTAAAGCCAAACGGCTGCAGTAAAACGGAAATCAACTGTCATCTTCTGGTAAGCTCGACCTGAAATCTCTTCAGCACATACTTTCATATGAAATAAAAGTATGTATAATAAG